AAAGAGGATGATGTGGTCAAAATACTCATTTGCCTAATAATTCTGCACTCCCTGTACATATTAACATACATACAAAAATACTGACATACATATTAACATACATACAAACATACAGACATACATACATACATATTAACATACATACATACTGACATACATATTAACATACATACATACATACTGACATACATACAGACTGACATACATATTAACATACATACATACATACATACAGGCATACATATTAACATACATACATACATACAGACACATACATACATTATTAACATACATACATACATACAGACGCATACATACATATTAACATACATACATACATAATGACATACATATTAACATACATACATACATACATACATATTAACATACATACATACTGACATACATATTAACATACATACAGACGCATACATACATATTAACATACATACATACATAATGACATACATATTAACATACATTCATACATACATACATATTAACATACATACATACTGACATACATATTAACATACATACATACACATACATACATATTAACATACATACATACATACTGACATACATATTAACATACATACATACAGACATACATACATATTAACATACATACATACTGACATACAGACATACATACATACATATTAACATACATACATACTGACATATATATTAACATACATACATACATACTGACAGACATACATACATACATACATATTAACAAACATACATACATACATATTAACACACATACAGACATATTAACATACATACATACTGACATACATACACACATACATACATATTAACATACAGCTAATTTTTCTTACTTTTTTTGCAGGTGGAAGGCTGTGGCTGATGGGAGTCAGCGTGGCTCCCGCAGCCTGGCTTTATTCCCTCCCGCGCGTCACGGAGGGGAGGGAGCTGGGAGGAAGTGACGGCCACTTCCTCCCAGCAGTACTTTGCTTTTTTAAAGGGGCCTGGTTGCGCAATTGCACGGCCGCAGCGCTGACCGGGCCCCTGAAGACACAGGGCCCATCGCCGCTACACGTAGGGCCCGGGCAGCCGACCCCCAAGGGCCGCCGGGCCCGTGACAACCGTCATGGTTGTCACCCCCTGATGGCGGCCCTGCAAGCAAGACTGGAGATTTATTGGTCAGTGTCATGATGGCGATGGCAGGACACCCGTACGCAGTGTTGCACAAATGGCAGCTCAAAATATGCGTCCATACAGTAACTCACTATCGGACTTAATTAAAGGACCACGTAGCGTGAGACTGGTTGGCCAGGTCATGTGTGCTTGGTATCGTGACAATGTATCGCAAATGACTGGGCATTATAGGAACTATTGTGCCAGATCGTAGGAGCTGCTTACGCCTTTGTTGACGAGATTCTTCTAAATATTTCCTGATGCACTCTACTCACCCATCCAATCTACCCTATTGTATTAATGTCAAACACCTGCTATGCGTCTTGAAATGCAAATAATCATAAACTGTATTTAAAAAGAAGACTGTCACCGAAATATAATGCTCTTTATTAAAAGTTCTGGTTTCAGTTTTTATTTTTAAAACATGTGTACACATATTAACGCATATACACATTCCTGTGGTGAGCTTATTATATTTCCTCCTCAGCAATGCTGTTTTAGAAGAACGCTCCAAGTTCCATAACCTCAACAGATCACTTTAGTGGTTATGGTGCCAAGAGTTACCTATCGCCCCCCCCATACTAAGTAGTCAAAAACCGCCACAGACCTCAAATTCCCTCTACGAATGTATAACATTTTCTATTATTACATGTAATTTATTCATTATAAATACACAAAAATAAGTCCTGCGCTCAAACTCCCACTACTACTGGGCAGCAGCAATGACCATAGTACACATCAGCCCCAATACATACATTATAACCAAAGAAAAAAGTTATTACGCACTATCCCTAATCCCTGTGCATATTTAAATAAATGGAGTAGTTATTTAGTAGGACTTTAGTAACTCCGATGGCCATAAGTTGTAAGCCCACCTGCCACGTCAAGGCAAACCTCTTAGGTGGGTCCTACACTAACAATTCACCTTGCTTGCTTTAGCTTCAAGTAAAGAAATCTCCAATGAGACAGGGAGGGGTATTTTTAAACCTGTAAATACTTATTAACTCTTAATAGGGAACACATAGGCTGGGTAGCAGCATTGTAACATGGCTGTGTGATACAAAAGTAAATACTAATACACAAAAATAAGTCCTGCGCTCAAACTCCCACTACTATTTTATTAATTATAAACCACTTGTGAAAAGTCTGCTGACACAGTGATAGAAGTGTACTTTTGAAGTGTATTTTGGTCGGGACGAACTTAACAACTGCCCCGAGCAATGTTATATTTTTAGCTAATTTCTGCAAAAAGACGGCAACAGGCCAATGTGCGTTAATTCACAGGGCTTGCATGCATGTGACTGGTTATGATGTCACTCTGCTGCAATGTATTATGGGTGTGGCTATAGTGTGATGTCAAGGGACCTACCAATCCTGGGAAATCTAACCAGGGTTATTTGCTGGGAACTTAGATATTACTGAAAAGGTTAATCTGTAGTTAGAAAAAAAGAACAAAAAATCAAAAAATATTCCAGGCACCTACTCGCCTTACTGTGCTCCATTACAACCATTATATGTTCTTTTTAACAATATTAAAATATTAATACTCCAGATTCCTAGAGCACTGTAGCTTGCTGAAGTCCTTTATGTATAAAATGGCATTTTTATAGATTAAACTTGTTACACCCCATACCCCCGCCCCCCGTCCGTCAATCAGAGTGATGATTCTGTTACTTCCTGGTTTGGTTAGCTCAGTGGAGCTAAACTCCAGAGGCAGCAATTGCCCAGAACACCTGCCTTGCAAGGACTTCTCATTGATCTGCATTGGGAAGTCTGTGATTGGACAGCCACAGAAAGTCTGGGCGGGGTTTTTGGTTAGAACAATCCTTGCTATGGTGGACCGCCCCACAAAAAAAAAAAAAAAAAATTAGAAAAGGAAAAAGATAAAACATACCTCTGTTTGAGTGCTGAGGCCAAGTTCCCCCTGAAGACTGATCCTCCTGGGTTGAGGTCACTCCTCTCCACCGGAGGAGGAGAGCTGTCAGGGAGGACAAAATGAGGGAGGAAAGGGAAAGCACTGACAGAGGTCCATGCTACCATTGGCTGTTTGGCACCAGAATGCTGAGTATTCTTGGCTGGCTAATGAAACCACAAAGAAGTGGCTGGAGATGCCTCATAGTAAAAAAAGCTGCACGTACTGACTCCAGGCACAATAACCATTTCAGATCAGTAAGGAGCTCATGGTGCTTGGAGTAACCCTTTAACAATCAAATACTTGTTCAAATCATACAGCTCGGAAATATATGAGATGATACAAAATTTGGCTTACCAAATGCACAAACTGCTTTAAAACACGCACTTTAAATCCCTATAGCCAAATAAAGAATTCTTACGACCATAACTCCCATGGGGAGGCCATTAGGAAAAACTGTCTCTGTTAGCTATGTGGCCTGGACATGTTTTCTGTATCTATTTCTTAGCAATGAATGCCAATAAAAAACAGTTTTGAAATATTGCATTGAATAATTATTACAGCAGTAAAACGGCAAAAGCCTTTGCATGGTCTGAGATGGAGATATTACGAGAGGAACACAAGAAGATTATATTATAGTTCGCAGTCTGAGTATTCTGCATATCAAACATTATCACATACTCTGCTCATAAAAGGAAAATACATGATATCGTAGTGTTTTGAGTTTACTAAATTGTTTGAGTTTGACATTTTTTTCTAATTATGCAATTCTGCCCACAACACATTTGATTAGTAGTTTTTATGTAAGACTTTGCCTTCAGAAGACAGTTGTAGCCATTTAATGGAGAGAATTAATGTTAACTGAGCTGTCATGGCTTGCCAGTTGTCTTCTAGTCAGGCCAAGGTCTCCAACACGTCCTGGTCCTGTTGGCACCAATATTACCATGACATTTTATAAGCATTCCATCAGACAAATTAAGACCCAGTAGAACATTATCTGATGGTAAATCTGATGCTTAGCTTGTAAGTGTCAAACTGCCTTTATAAACAATAACCATTGCTGGATTGTATGGGACATAATGCTAACACTATGCTTTAGTCTATATACAACAAACTTGGACTTTCTCAAATTTTGTTTACATTTAGAATATTTTACTGACGTTTTACAGAATGTTCAACTATGTAGGTCTGTGGGGTTTGTTGATATCTGTGGTATGAGGATGCAGGAAGGTCTGAAAAGTGAAGTTATGTGTTGATAATTGTTATTAATATATATTACAGTGATCTATAATTTGTACATATTATATTTTATGATTTGTAAGTATATGGCCAACTCAAATTGATGTGTGTACTTCCATGGTTGACTTGGAACGTCCATTCATTTGATTTGTTTACTGTGATACTGTGTACCTGCTGGGAGTCTGAGAAGGGACTTCATGTTTGGATTTTTTTTATGTTTGATACTTCAAGGGACGTCAAACTGAAATCTTCTGAATGTGTCCGCCGTGTGTCAATTAATTCAGAAGTACATCGTTTTCAGTACAGATGTTGACAAGTACCCCAAACTATTACAAATTAAAAATCTATCTGACTTCAATCCATTCAGCCGTTAACCCAAGCCGTTTTTGCATAAAAAAACCCTCCCTATCGTTTCCCTTTAACTTACACCCTTTTGAAAATTATTTTGTTCTACCGTAAGCTAAAAGAACATTCATGTGCTTAGAAGTGTGTTTTGTATTTGCGGAAATTTCAATATAAAAAAAAGGTCATTCAGTAATGTTTCGCCTTTAACACAATTTTCAAAATGACCCGGTATTCAGTGATTTACTGAATTGGAGAGATTTTGTTGTTCAGTCACACATTATATTTCAGAAATCCAACTCACAAAATTAAAAGGCAGGAATAATAAAAAAAATTACAATTAACATATTTATTGAATTTATAATAATAAATATTTTATACACATTTATATTGCTTGAAAAAAAAAAAATCAAAGCAACAACTTGTAATTATCCCAATATTTACACAGAGCCCGTATTTTGGATCTGGACATATCTGTGTGCATCTTCCCATAAATAGGATATCACACCCAGACAGAAGCACTAAAACACACTTTACGCCTTATGTATGATTATGAATGAACATAAATGCACATGTAAAGAATGTTTGCACACAATTCCCACACATCTCCATTGAATCTAAAAGAAGAACGCAAAAAATAAAGGGTTTTATATAGGAAATGTGTACATGTGTATATATATTCATTGTGTCTTTCCAAATACCTTTATTTTATACAAACACACTCATTGGTATACACACATATGAACTTGTTGACCCAAACAGACCTGTACACACACTCACATGAACACACACATAAATGAACACGCATACACACAAAAAATAGAATAGATTAATATTTGTCACTGCAAAGAGCCCTCTTTAGCACGGTGTGATATTCACTTACAAAAAAGAGTCCATGTTAATAACAGTTTTAGTATTGGAATTATGTTAATCATGGACCTAGAATTCCTATCTCCTAAGCCACTGAGTAGACCATTATCTAAAGACACTTTATTGTCGCTAAAAACAGTAATATATGCATTATAACTTTAAATAGATGACAGTTTGTAGTGCTCTTGATCTATGACCATTGAGAGTCAGAAATTATTTTGAAAAATACAGTAAAGCAATAATTTAACCCATATGTGGTACTACTGGTAGACATAGAATGTTTTGTGGTAGAATATAAATGTTGTGTAAGAAAGCATTTGGAGCATGGTTTGGATTCCTTTTACTTTTAACAATCTTTTTACTTATTGATATTGCTGAATTCTCTTAGAAGTCATTCAGTTTAAGTGCTACAATATGAGGCAGATTTCTCCTGGAACACGTCCCAACTTCTCACAGGGTTTGAGTTTGGCCTAATATTTTTAAATTGTCCTTCACGGATGCTTCACGTTTTAGAATGACTTTACAGTTCAGAACATGTCCCAGATTATGGGAGGTATGGTTCTTAACGTGCAAGTCAAACACGTCATTCTCCTGAAAGTTCGATGTGAGATTAAAGCAGCATCTCACGACCTATAACAACCAGCAGAGCCATTCCCAATAAATATACGTTCCTCTCTGCAGTGACCAAGCTGGAACTGAAGTAGGATGCAACAACTCCATTATTGCAGAGGTTCCCTTTGCAGCAGTAGAGCTTCTGACTTTGTAGGACAAACAAGGACGTGGATAGCCCAAGGCACACATTATTGGAGCAGCATCCACGCATTAGTGTGGTCCCTCGTGGAAATCCTGTGCAGAGAAATGGGATTAGCTCTTGAAGAATGGAACATAGAAGTTGGCCACAAACAAACAGCAATTAAACCAGATGTGAGCCATAATTTGCTATAAAGGTCTACTTCCCTAAATACTTTTCTCTACAAAATTATGTTTAAAGCAAGTTGATTTTAGCAGTTTATAGCTTGTAGACCCATAGAGGAGCACAGAGGAGCTCCATGCTGTACGAATTTAAAAGTGGACGTGGTCGGGTCACCTGTAAAAAACAATGAATTCATGTCTCACCTTGAATGTCCATGCATGAGGTCATGTTCCCCGTACACTGCACCTTGGTGATTTTGTTGGTGCATTCTCCTTTTCCCGTCTCATTGCATGCATAGCATTGAAGTCCATTGAGTGTCTCATTCACGGAGACTGTGGATGACAGTTCATAAACACTAGTCAACGGTGTAATAGTGATGTGACAGGACAAGGTTGTGTACAGTATCCCTGTGACAGGACTCCTTTGTGAGTCTCAACTGAAGAATTATTGAAATGGACAAACATACTTTTATTGAGTTGGGCCAACAAAAGGTCGAATTCACCATGGTCTGCTCTGATGTAAAATACATTAGTGATAGTGGATATTTGGAATAACAGGTAACTGGTTTGTTAGCTATTAGCCCACCAGAACTGAATACTTCTGTATTCTTTCCATGGACAGTCTGCACAGTTTTTTATTTGAGTGTTCACGTCTTATAGACATAGGTTATTTACTGTGCAACTTCTTGGAAAGTCTGTAGGGGATATGTATCAAAATATTCTGGTTTGAAATGTGGTAGTAGCACACCACACAAGATCCATCCCTGGTGACAAGGGAGAGGTAGAATCTCCCCCCTCTAGCATAGCATGGTCAAGTGAGACCATGGTAGAGGCTTTTCATGTTCCTCTCTCTGATCTTTCAGAGCAGCTCCAGCCTCCAGGCAGAGTTTAAGTAAGGGTAGAGAGTGATGATATGAATGAGCCATCTTTCAGATAACTATACCTTATCAAATCTTCACATGTGTTTCAGATGTGCTTTTTTACCTTTCCTTAGTTAATATGTTGCTACCCCAAGATAGAGGTTTGGGTTGTGTGTGTCCAAGACTAGTAGAGTACTGGTTAATTTACCTGCTATTGAATTATTGTTGCAATTGGTCTTCCCACAGCATGTTATATCCGTATACAACCTTCCTTTCCCGGTGTTATATTCCAGTCTCCGATCACAAAGGTTTCCTGTTCCGCAAGCTTTAACCACAGAGTTTGAGCTTGAACCTGTTGATAAAGGAGGGCAGTTATTCTCCATGATATCTTTGAAAAAATGACATTGATAAACAGTTTGGCTATGTCCTGACTTAAATGAATTCTCAGAATAAAAATGGAATTAACTTTTTGAATACACCTGTTAATAGAAGTGTGACCCTAGGGATAAGGGGATTAAATGATGTTCGTGAGGGTTATCCATCAGCCAGATATATGGAGATTTCTCCAGTGACTTTTTTTCACATATATGTAAACATATTTGTATAAAAGAATAGCTTCAACCCCTCTTGGAACTCTGTCATATGAGCCTGAACTGTGCGTACTGGGATAACGCAGCAGTCCACCAGAAGAAAAGATTCTAGTTCTTTGAGGAATAAATCAGATGGAAATCTATTTTACTACACTAAAGGCTGCTAATACATCTGAGCTCTTTGTCTCTTTGCACCTCTAGGATTCCGTATATTTAGGTACATACATAGTTTGGCTTGCTCTGGGTTGTTTTTCCTCTCTTACCATTAACAAACAAGCTTGTGATCGTCATGCAACGATCCTGGACCCCGGCACATCGGATTGATGTCATATTTGGAAGAGTACACGACTGGTTGTTGCCTATACAAGCCAAACAGTTTAATGCAGCCACAGGAACCGTTGCTGGAGGAGAGACATTAACAGACGTTATCCCTGAATTTGAGATTTTGAGACATCATTAACCAAAAACAGCAGTGACTAAATCTGGCACTGTAGATTGGCCTAATATTTTTAAATACCCATGAATGACCATTCAATACAGGCTGGCTAAGGACCATGGGAAATATACTTAAGAGATATCTGAGGTGCCATAGTTAGTCATCCTTCCCTTATTGTGGCGCCATATTTTATGGGCAGTGCAGAAAGGACGATGGCTGCCAATCGTGCTCAGAACGTAATTTACATATGGCGAAACCAAGTGATGACAGGTGAAGACTAGTAATACCTAATCTTTATATTTCCTTTTTTTTGTTTTACACCATTGCATATTTTTTGCCTGACATCTAGAACATGGCCACTGACCGGACCGTTCCTATTTTATTACAGTTAATTGCCTGACTACAAAGTAACAGTTTCAGTCCGGCCTAGGACAGGAACGAAGCCTGAACTCACAGTAATAAGTTCCAGTGTTGCAGTTGTCTGTGAGACAGCATGAGGAGCTCATGTAGGTTTTACGAATCCCCCGGTCCACGTACATCGTTTCGTTACACACCAGACCCTGACTGCAGCCTTTAAAGGTCTTTTCAGTAACAGTTCCATTCTCTGTAACAAAACAACACAGGATCGTATATCAACAGTGACTGATGGAATAAATATTTGATCTCGGAAAATGAACAGTCCCAAATTGTGTTGAGCATTTTTATATGGTTTAGTGTGGAGAACTGACAATGGCATCGCACAATATTATTCTGAACAAATGTGCTTTCCAACTGAAGTACTTTGTGAAATATAGTTGTTCTTGACACAATTTGAGGGTTATCCACTAAGGTGAAAATTCAAAGTGAGTTTTGAATGTAAGGCCAGAGTAGCCAAATTGAGGCTTACAGAATGTTTCCAGTTTGACAATTTGAATCTCAAGTTTGGAATTCTCACTGTAGTAAATAACTCTGTTAGTGAAGACACTCTAGAGAGTTCAAAAGGACCACTCAGGAATTAATTAGCTAACTCCTAAACACACTCTTACAGGTTTATTCTATAAAGCGGCAGATTGTAGAGAATTCAAAACAGAATTAATTTCAAAAGTCCACTTTTGGCCCAAATCAGAGAAACATGGTTAGATAACCAAATGGAACTATATTTACAATTCTCATACTTAATAAAGGAAATTCAGTTATGTCAACCAAAATATTACTATCTCTAGAACTCAAAGAGTTAATTATGCTCTATGACCAGCGAAACGCGGATTAGTCGATGATATAATATGACTGGTAAGTTTAAATGCTGAATGGAGCTGGTTTGAATGATAAAACTCATTTCTTATTTTACCACTACATTATGGTTGCAATAACAATTTATTTGTGCTGTTGAAAAATGTGTATTTTATTTTGCACCATAATTAAATATGCATAGATTCTTGGAGATTTTTATTGCATTTCTTTTATTATTATTCAATTTTTTAACATTTTTATCTGTGCCCATAATTAAAGGGGCATTAATGATACAAAACAAGTAGGTTTTATATGTAAGTTCTGACTTTCGTCTCTCCAAATGTTGCATTTGATCATTGGATAATACTAAAAGACGTTGAAATCTTAGAATTCTTTTATAGATGCTGCTTATACAATAAACATTCATCAAGTGTGCTCCGAAGCCCGCTAATGGAAGAAACTGAAAGAGAGCTGTCTTTTTATTCATTTATCAAATTTTGTAATCACATTAAATACTTAATAAAACTTTTATTAGCATCTACAGCTTAAGGAAGATAACCACAGAGTTTGAAAGAAGAGGAAAGAGAAGTTGATTTCAGGTGGTGATTGACAATGACCCTCGAAGACCGTCACCACCCATTTTAATGTGCATTGGATGTCTTAATCCACATGTCATGGGTCCAAAGATCCATGTGCTGTGCAAATCACCTTTGCAACAAAATTAGGAAATCCTTTGATGAATGGTCTAAGACACAACACTCTAGAAAAGAGGTGTCCATCAAATGACAATAACTCATTGACCAGGCTTGGATGGACTTGCCCTACAAGTAGAGGGTTGCAAGACCTGTGCATCGGTTGTTGGCTAATTGTATAACAATGAGATTGCAGGAATATGTAATTACACATGGACTGTAGGATTACCTGACCACCATATGTATTTGGGGGCTTATCATATCTGCAGGCCATGGGAATAAGACTTGGAAGTAGTGATACAAATCATATGAAAGGTTACATCAAGCAGGCAGACAGACCTATTTTGAATACGTTGGTGGATAATTGGAAGAAAGCCTACATATAAAGAATCAGTTCTAGAAGACGTTTCTCACCTGTACCTTACCTACAATAGTGAATGACTGAGAGACACAGCTCGTCTGATTAACAAAACACTCTTGCTCCTGGTCAATACAGTTATACGGTAACCCAGAACATTGGTTACATTTCAGACAGGAACCTGAAAAACATGTAAACATGTAACAGACGTGTTATATATTATTTGTTCAAAGTATGAAGATTTGTTATATAGTCTAAGCCTCACTTGTATCACAAAAGTCGACACCACTTAACAATGACTAAATACTGCTTAATGGTCACTTACACATCCTAAAATACCCTCAGTATGTCGTAGACATAGACACTAAACTAAGCACTACGGGAGAGGTTCAGTAAAGAATTTACTGTACTGTAAAATATATAGAAAAATCACTAAAATAGATCAAATAGACAGGTTGGATCTGTTGTATATTTTGGCTGTTTTAACCTAAAAAATAAACACTTCTTCTAAACCCCCAGTTTGGGAAGTAAGGCCCTGTGCCTTGCACTGAGTATATAACCATATTGAGAGATGTGATTTTATTAAGACACGGAGGCTCCTATTATGCTGCACTCGTTCACCAAAGAAAAAACTTTAACAATGATATGAACACAGGAAGCACTCATTAACACATATCTTCCCTGGCAACCAATCAGCCAATCAGGTTCCACTCTGAATAACAGGCGGTGTTCTTATGACAATTTCCTCTTTCTTTGCTGCTCCCTCAGTTAAGTACACTGATCCCATAGTTCTTAACTGTGAGATTGTTATTGCTATTATTATTACTATTATTGCTATTATTATTATTACTATTATTATTATTATTATTGATAATATTACTGCTCTTTTGTTATTTTATAATTATTATTATTATTTATTACAGTATTACTCTGATTACGTTCATTTCATTTTGTTGTTTCTTTCATTCACATTGCCTTAATTACTTATTAATTACTGCTTATACTGTGTTATATTCTGTAATTTGCTTGGTTAGACTCCCTCCCGGTTCCCTATAATTCCTTGTGGGGCACCGGGAGGAGAATTCATTATTCTTATCCCTCTAACGTTTAATTGCACTTGCCACATGGCACTTTCGCACACATTTTTCTACTAATGTAACTGTCTACCTGCTCCTAGATTCGAGCAATAGTGCCCTTCGTCTAATCTGCCGTTTGGCAGTTTCCTAGCATTCTCCAGTTTCTCTCTGTCTATGGCGCGCGTTTGCATACTTTTTTCCGTTCGCATGTTTTTTTAAATGAACTGTGCATTCATTTGCGTCTTTTGCTGTTCACGAGTTTATCAGTATTCATACTGCTTTTCATTAGAACGGACTGTTCGCGGAATTTTGCCGTTCAACAGAATTTCGTGTGGTTTTCTCCTATAAGCTTGCCCCTTCCTGTTTCCCTTTGTTGGGGTCTAGTGTTTTGGCAAACGGATGGCTTTCTATCTTTCTCTGTGCTAATCTGTTAAATGTAAGTGATTTATTTCCTTTTGCAGGATATTTTTTCCCTATTCTAGGTTACTAAACCCTATCGCTAGGTATCCTATTATTTTGCAGGTTACAATAGTTCCACCCACAAAATAATGCAGTCTGACAAGGACCAAACTTTGGCTTCTGGGTCACAAGTGACCCCTCAGATTTCCCAGGGAAGGGACTATGTCCCCTGATTTATCCACTACTGCGGACATGCAGGCGCTATTTGACGCCTCGGTTTCACAATACATATCACAGGCTATGTTTCCGCTATGGGTGCTGTGTCGATGTCTCTGTCACACATTATAACACAGGCCACATTGCAGGTCCACCAATCTGCGCAGAAGACTGGTACGTCAACTGCATCTAGTATACCAACGGTTCCCCAAGGTCGCAAAGCTACGGCTAAGACCAAACATTCCTCCAAAACTGCTTTGAGTGACAGCCTCACGTCTGTCTCAGATGGCGCGCAACCACCACCGCGCAAAAGAACCACTAGCCAGGCAAAATCGGCTAGATTGTGGAAACGGGCGAGAGCCCAACTAGACTCGCCTGAGAACTCAGCGACATTTAGGAGGAAATGGATGAGACCGATAAGGACGATTTAGAGGGTCAGACTGAATCAAACTCCGACGGTGCATTGGGAGAGGATTCTGCCTCCTCATTTGGCACCTTCCCCGTGACATTGTCAGGGGCCCAGGTAAGTCTGCCGGGGTCTGGTGATGACTCCAGGATTTTAGATCCTCGGGGGGTACCTCTTTTCGACCCTGAGGAACTCAGACACCCGCGCTTAGCGGAATGGTGTCCCTCAGAACATGTGGCAAAATACATCACCTCTAGAGTGCGTAAGCCCTTAGACAAGGTTACCAGAAACAAACTGAGGGCAGAATGCCCCCGTCCCACGGTCCCAGATGACGCGTGCAAAACGCCCATCGTGGACCCCAAAATTGCCCAATTCCTTGGGAAAACCGGGTGGAAACCGAGGAAGGGCCTCGATTTGACCCCGACTAATTGCCAAGACAACGCTTTTGATATTTTGGGCCCCGCAGCGAAAATATTTGAGGCGATCGAAGATGACCGAGACCTGGACAGGAATGTCATTCATGGATGGATCCAAAGGATAATTTGCCTAGTGGGGAACATAAATTCGGCATTGGCTACAGAACGCTGCAAATCTATTCTGCTCAAAATTGAGCCTAAGCTAGTAAATCTAGCAATTAATGAGCCGGCTGCCCAGGCTAAAGGGCTTTTATTTGGTGATTCCTTTGTAAAGGAATTAGGGTCTTTTGTACATACTTTTACGGCCCTAAATAAGGCACAGAATAACATGCGCAAGATATTCCACCAAAAGATTTTCGCCTGGGCCGGAAGAGGTAGGAGCCGCCTGTCCGGCCATATTCAGAGAGGTTCATACAGACAGAACCGAGGTTCCTATACTGGAAGAACTGGATTCCAAGAACAGAGGGCCACACCAGCTTTCTTCCCTTCAGGTTGTGGGGGGCAGACTCAGACATTTTTCCCATGTGTGGTCGCATCTGACATCAGATGCTTGGGTCCTGCAAGCTTTAACAGGGTACTGCATAGATTTTGTATCACACCCGACTCGACTCTCCCTACCCAGAGAGATTGTTTTTTCCCAACACGATGCTATCCTTGAATCCAAGGAAATCCACTATCGGATGTGCAAACAAGCCATCACAGAGATCCCATTCAATACTCCGGGGTACATCAGCAACCTCTTTCTTATACCCAAGAAAGGCGGAGCAATGAGGCCAGTCATGAATTTGAAACAGTTGAACACCTACATCTCCTATCACCATTTCAAAATGGAAGGCATACATTGCCTGCGCGACCTTCTACAACCCAAAGATTGGATGGCCAAGTTAGACTTACAGGACGAGTACCTCATACTACCTATATCAGACAGATGCCAAGATTTTCTCCAATTCACGTGGGAAGGAAGGAAATGGAGGTTCACATGCCTCCCGTTCGGACTGTCATCAGCCCCATTGTGTTTCACAAAGGTTATGAAACCCGTGATTACCCTGCTTCGAAGTCGAGGTGTTCGGCTTATCATCTATCTAGACGATATCCTCCTTCTAGCCTAGTCTACCGACCTTCTCCACACACATCTCACATGGACTCTGATGCTGTTGCAAAACCTAGGTTTCCTTGTAATCTGGGAAAAATCCATCCTGACACTGGTCAGAACATCGAGTTCCTAGGACTAGTGATCGATTCCACGTCACAGACACTACACCACCCAGCGTCAAAATTACTGAACATCAAAAAAGAAATCAGACGCACATTGGCCGTTCCTCAGTTCTCTCTAAAACACCAGGCACGAGTCATCGGACTCCTGGCGGCTTCCATCCAGGCCATATTCCCAGGCACACTCCATTACCGGGCTCTACAACAACTTCAAGCCTCTCACCTCAGAGGCGGTGCATCATACGGGGATATGATAACGCTAGACGAAGAAGCGAAAGACGAACTTTGCTGGTGGCTACTCCACATGGAGGCATGGAATGGACGCGCTATCTTTGGAATCACCCCAGATCTGATCATAGAATCAGATGCGAGCTTACACGGCTGGGGTGGGCGTTGTGGAGATACCTCCACGGGAGACAGATGGTCGGACCTCGAAACGACATTGCATATCAACTGCTTAGAGCTTTTAGCCGGTTCCTTTGCAGTACGCAGCCTATCCCCAACTCATTCGCAATGCACGATTCTATTGAAGATGGACAACGTGTCCACAGTCAGATACATCAACCCTCTGGGAGGCATGAAATCCAAAGTATTAGCAAATATGGCACGCGACTTCTGGCAATTCTGCCTGATGCACAATATCTTGGTGACAGCGGAATATATTCCAGGACTTTCCAACACCACTGCGGACTGGTACTCCAGACACCTCAGTTTGTTCAGCGACTGGCGTCTGGACCCAATGACATTCAAGAACATCACGGATACCTGGGGACCTCTGGGAGTAGACCTCTTTGCCTCCCAGCTGAATGCTCAACTGCCTCGGTTCTACAGTTGGAGACCAGGTCCCTTGGCTCTCGCAACGAATGCCTTCCTTCAGGATTGGACCATGGAAATGAATTATGCATTCCCTCTGTTTGCAATGATTCCCCGTTGCCTTCTACATCTACGGCGCCAAAAGGGCACGTTGGTCATTGTGACTCCCCTATGGCCATCCCAACCATGGCTCCCTCATCTTCTGGAAATGTCGATAGACTTCCACTGCCTTCTCCCATTGTAGATTCTCTTCTTCAGGATCCGGATGGACAATCTCATCCCTTAATTCTCCAAGGCCTCCTCAGGCTTATGACATGGCTGTTTTCAGTGGACAGTCGTAGGCGTTCCGCATTCAACTCTCAGACTTCTCGAGACTGCATGGGCACCCGACACAAGACACTCTTATAAATCTGCTTGGAATGCATGGAATGGTTGGTGCGTGGGACAAAATCTGGATCCCTTATCAGCTCCTTTGACAGCCATCCTACAGTTTTTTATCTCACTCAAGGTTAACCTTTACCATTCGGCTCTTTCTGCTGGACATCAGGGCATTGATGGGCCCCCCCCTTTGGACGTCACCCCTTTGTCTGCCGCTTACTACGTGGAGTATGATTTTCCCGGCCACCGCTCCCTCGTTAATCTACACTATGTGGTATGGTATGTTTCCATTGTCCTCTGCTTTCTAATGTCATGGCTGGACAACTCTGCATTATCACTCAAACAACTGTCAGCAAAATTAGTCATGCTCTTCTGCCTCATATAATGCAAAAGAGTCTCGGATGTTAGAGCTTTGGATACAGATGCCCGATCCTTTACACCAGAAGGTGTCCTCTTTGATACCTCTAGAAGGACCAAAATGTCTTCTAAGTCCGTACTGTACCCGGCCTTTCCACAGAAGCCAAAAGCCTCCACGGTAGAATGTCGTTTGGAGGATATCTTAAGAGCTGCCGGTTGGTCTTCGGAATCCACTTTACGTGACTTCTACTTCAAACCGATTTAACACTTTGCTGGAACAGTTATATCACAGCTTTAAACTAGCATAATAGGAGCCTCCGTGTCTTAATAAAATTACCAGATTACCAGATTTTACTATTTACATGATTTTATTAACGACACGGAGGCGAGTATTCCCCAGTGGCGTACATATGACCCATGGGGCCCCGGTGCGAAAATTGATCCGTGGGCCCCCCTCCCCCCGCTCTTACTCGGCGCGGGTCGGGGCCGCAACACATGGTGGCGGGCACCTGGTCGCAGGGGTTGCAGGCCTGCGACCCCGTAACCGCAGTATGCACACACACTTAAATGACCACTACAGACACCCAGATCACATCAGCTCAATGAAATGGTCTGGGTGCCAGGTCCCTCTAGTTTTAACCCTGCAGCTGAAAACATAGGCTATGTTTCACTGAGGGTTAATCCAGCCTCTGGTGGCTGTGTCATTGACAGCCGCTAGAGGAGATTCCGCGATTCTCACTGTGAAAATCACAGTGAGAAGACACTGAACGTCCATAGGAAAGCATTGAGTAATGCTTTCCTATGGGCGGTTTAAATGCGCGCGCGCGCGCCTCTTGCCGCGCATGTGCATTCGGAGCTGAGAGGCAGAGGGATCCCCAGCGCCAAGGGAGTCCGACGCTGGAGAAAGGTAAATGCTGAAGACACACACACACTCTCACGAACAGACGCATACACACTAGCTAACAGACACACACATTTACTGACAGAGACACACTCATTGACAGACATACATACACACTCACTTACAAAACATACACTTTCACTGACAAACACGCAATCACTAACAGACATCAAACACACTCAGTAACAGACACACACCGTAACACATTCACTAGCAGACACACACCCAATAACAGACACACTCACTGACACACACACTAACACACACACACAAACACTAACACAAACACACACTAACACATACACACAAACACTAACACACACACACACTAACACACAAACACACTAACACACACAAACACACTAACACACACACTAACACACACACACACTAACACACAAAAACACACAAACACACACTAACACACTAACACACAAACACACACACACACACTAACACACACACACTAACACACACAAACACACTAACACACACACAAACACTAACACACACACACACTAACACACACACATTTTTTTTTAAACTTAATCCCCCCAGCCTCCTTACCTTTTGGAGAGCTGGGGGGATTCCCTGGGGTCCAGTGGTGCTGCTGGGCGGGCAGGCTGGCTGTCTGGGTGGCCGGTGTGCAAGGGAGCACTCTCCCCTGTGTGCTTCCTCTTCAGCTCCCTCGCACGCCGTATAGGGATGCCGTCGCCGGAAGATGACGTCATCTTCCGGCTCCGGTATCAGTGCGGTGCGCGAGGGAGCTGAAGATGAAGCACACAGGGGAGAGTGCTCCCACGCGCACCGGCCACCCAGACAGCCAGCCCGGGTCAGCAGGGCCAGCCTTGGGGGGGTCCTGAAGTGGCCGGCTCCTGGGCCCCCCAGGGGAAGAGGCTGGCCCTGTGGGTACATACCGGGTCGCAGGGGCGACCGGGCCCCCTGGTGGGCCGGGCCCGGTCGCAGCCGTGACCCCTGCGACCCTGTTATGTACGCCGCTGATTATCCCTCCCACTCTCCCCTGGATGGTGTTCACCTGGGTAAGTTAGTACGGTAAGTTTCTGTGGGGCGGTTTTCTCACTAGTGATGTGATGGGTTCAATTATGCACATTGTATTCACCTCGTACAGGTTGACTTATTATTTGTTTCAGTGGATATTGCCTCATAAAGTATAACATAGTATTTATGCATACACCCAGTTTTATACTTGGATAATACCATATTCTACTCTCTCTTACAGCTTAAATTGAAAGTTCATCCATCGATGACTTTTCTCGTTAATTGGATTCCTTGTTTCGTTTGGATGGCAGTACAAATTCGGGATCGCAAGAAAGAGGAAATTGTCATGAGAATACCGCCTATTATACTGGAGAGTGGAACCTGATTGGCTGATTGGTTGCCAGGGAAGATATGTGTTAATGACTGTTTCCTGTGTTCATATCATTGTTAAAGTTTTTACTTTGCTACTGAGGGAAAAAAAGAAAGAGTGCAGCACAATAGGAGCCTCCGTGTCGTTAATAAAATCATGACTTTATGTCACGTAAATAGTAAAATCTGGTCATTTCTTTTCACTGCTGAGAACTGGTTGAATAGCTAGAAGTGTTTTTCTCGATTGTGACCGTAATGAGCGGAGCCATCCTTACCTAGTATCACTGTTCATATTGATATGTTTCTCCATTCTTTTTTGTGCTATAACCCATATAAAACAGTATTGTACTGAGGGTTGAGGAATATCTTGCTTCTACATTAATGATGAAAGTAACAATGATCGGCCTAGGTTTATCGAATAAAGACTAGGTTTATCGAATAACTAATATTTTACTTACCTAAGAATATTCGATTTCCTTCATAATCAGAGATTAGCACCTCGATAAGATCCTCTATGAGGAGCTCAATTATAAACCTTCCAGAACTAGAAGGGCCTTGGATACACTTAATCAAGAAGTTAAACTGAACACAGTTATTAAGTGGGAAATTGACCTAGATAAATCTTTTTTCTTGGCAAGATTGGTTAAAATCATTTGAATTAATAAGGAAAACAATTCAATGTATAAATATACAAGAAACGTTCCTTAAAATCATCCACAGATGGTATATGGTCCCCACTAAATCATGCAAATTTCAAACAAATTCCTCCAGCATATGTTGGAGATGCAATAGTGAACCTAGTTCACTTAAACATATTTGCTGGGACTGCACTGGCCTGGACAACCTTAAGTTGGGAGTTTCTAAACTTATCTCCGACTTAAAAGTAGATATCACCTTGTCCCCAGAAAGACTTTTATTTATTTTATCAAAATATGCCAAAAATGGCTAAACCATCTTTATATCTAATTATCCATGTTTTAATGGCAATTAAACCGTGTATGGCTAGAAATTGGAGACATACTGAATCTCTATCCTTAATAGAGATCAAAGCCCAAATCCAATATCAAGGATTGATGGCAAAGGATGTCTATTTTAAAGATAACAATATTGATACCGATAACAAAATATGGAAAAATTGGTTTGATTATTATAAAGAATAGATTCTCCAAATAAATAAAACCTTGTAAGACTATATTTAGCTATAGTCACTTAGCAAAATACAATCAATATTATCCCCAAAATGGTTCTTGATTGATTCAATACTTTTAAAGAAACTGTATTGGAGCTCCCCATCCTCTTTACTCTCCGTAGGTGTCCTTACGTTGTATGTTGTATGTGATTTTTATGTTATATGTTGTGTAAGATATACCTCGTTGAAGGTAGTATTTTGGATAAGTAATTTATCCCTGGACAATATTAACTCTTAGAAACTCGAATCTAATGACCATCCATTTAAGAATGGACTTGAATGGTAACGCAATGGAATAATCCAATTTACCATATTGTATGAAATAATGTAAAAATGCTGTTGAACATACATGCTTAGTTTTCTGTAAAATTACAATAAAAAATATTTGAAGAAAAAATAAATAAAATATTGATCAGCACAGTTAGCACACTGTCAATATACCTTAACAAATGTAGGCAATAGTATTCACATGGGGTTTTTAAATAAAGTCCAAATTGAAACTCAGATGGTAACATTATGACTAAAATAGCCAGTTATTATATTTTTGCCATTTTGATTTCGATTCACTACAATTCGGTGGTTTAAGAATAATTTTTGTAAAGTGTGAAGTTGAAAAAAATCTCAAAAGTACCAGAATTCTGGTTCATGGATTGCGGGATAAAACTTACCAGGAAAGGTTAAAGGATCTTAACATGTATAGCTTGGAGGAAAGACGAGACAGGGGGGATATGATAGAAACATTTAAATACATAAAGGGATTCAACATAGTAAAGGATGAGACCATATTTAAATGTAAAAAAAACTACCACAACAAGAGGACATAGTCTTAAATTAGAGGGGCAAAGGTTTAAAAATAAAATCAGGAAGTATTACTTTATTAGGGTTGACTGCATGGAATAGCCTTCCAGCTGAAGTGATAGAGTTAACACAGGGATAGGCATAAGGCTATCCTAACTATAAGATAAGGCTAGGGACTAATGAAAGTATTTAGAAAATTGGGCAGACTAGATGGGCCGAATGGTTCTTATCTGCCGTCACATTCTATGTTTCTATGTTTCAATTGGCAAGTTGTCCCAGCGACCCATTCTTCAGATAAAGTAATTAATTGTAACATCACTGTTGCAAATCTTCAAACCTGTACATTCTTCACAATGTAAAAACAAGTCTCTACTCACTGGGCAAGACAGTGTCACTATATTAAACTGGTTATTATGTACAGTTGCATGTGTTATTATAATTACAATGTGCCCATTCCAACTAATGGACGCCCACTGGAATAATATGCTGGACTATATTTGGAAGGTGTTAAGAATCAGCGCACCTCAGAATTATCTACAATATTATAGTATTTATACAGATCAATAATATTCTTCAATAGTTATTCAGCGCTGTGGATTCTTTGGAGAACCTGTCCTATGGTTTGCTGGTTCTAAACATTTTGTAAACGTGTTCAGCTGTGTTTCGGTAAAACTCTCATACATTTCTTCCTAAGTTAGTATTGAAATTTAAATAGCTAAAACTCACCTTTTGGTACAAAAACACAGAGAAAAAGAAGAGCCAGATACCTGGACATTTTCTATCGTTCTTTTCTTTCTTTCTTTCTTTCTTAGTAACCACTTCTCCCGTCTCTGTGCCTTGCAGATACCTGTCTCTCACCCCTTCCTATTCCCCTCCCTTCACATTTTCAAAGTGACTAAAGAAGTGAAAGTGGGGAGGTATTTTTTTTTTTTATCTGCAACACCAGATGTAAAAAAAAAAAAACCTGAAAAATATGTTAAACTTAAATAATGTTATACTTAAAGATTCCCTTCTAATTTATTGTTTTACTGTACAGATATTAGTATTAAAAGTGACTAGTTTAGGTGACTGGGTTAAGGATCAGTGGTCATGATTTCGGTAAATTGGGGTTGAAGGTTAGGAGCTAGGTGATTGGAGTTGGTGTTAATGGTTAGGAGCTGGGTAATGTGAGTTAGGTTTAATTGATATGTGATAGGTGTTCGTATTAATGATTATGGTTTATGCTGAACTGATTATACATTTGCAGATATGAAAATTATAATGTACTCTTATCGGCAATTAGTTGTGCATTCCTTTTTTTTATTTTTTATTTTTTTTTATAAAGAAGTATGTTATATCGGAGCCATGAATTAAATTCACATCTTTGTATAAGAGTTTCAGCATTTAATCTAATGGTTAAAAGCTGTAATATACAATTATATCTGTAGTTATACAGGTGAGACACTTCCAATATCAAGATAAGTAAATTAAATTTAAGTAAATTTTCTAAAATGCAAAACAAGGACAGTCCTTACTTTTAATTTATTGTAGCAAATACTGATGCTCATCACAGTTACCATAACATAATGTTATATGAATTGGACAAGTGAATGTCGATAGAAACATCTATTAATCATCATTAACTCCTAAATCCTTACTAAATCCTAATCTAACCCCATGGCCCTTAATAATAACCATGAACCGTAACACCAATCATCTAACTCGTAACAATTAACCCTAACAACTATTACCTAATTCAGGGGTTCCCAAGTCCTCAAGTACCCCCTACCAGTCCAGGATTTTGGGATTACCCTGTTGTGTCATTGTTTCTTCTTCTGAAAGCTCCTTAGACACAACAGGATAATCCCTAAATCCTGGACTGTTAGGGGGTACTTGAGGACTGGGTTGGGAACCCCTGACATAACTCATAATTAACCAGTGCTAAGTTAAGAGCCAGCACACTATAGAATTATCTACAATACCATAGTATTTATGCAAATCAAAAATAGTCTTAAGTAGATATTCACTCCTCTGCTTTCTTTTGACACCTCGTCCTACGGTTTGCTGGTTAACCATAAACATCACAATCATTAATCCTAAGGCTCTATAACCTATAGCTATAAACCTTAATTCCTAATATAACCTTAACTTCAAGCCCAAATTTATAATCTCTTACCCAGTCCATGATTTTATTTCTAAAACTAACTCCAATTTCTAAGTATAATGCCAACTTGATTGGTGCAAAAATGATGCCACCTCAAAATAATGTTTCACATTTTAAATTCTACTTTTCAGATAATCCATGTAGCGGACCCCGGGTAACCTGACTGGTTACCTCCGCTAATTTCTCCTCTCAGCCATACTGGAACCGTGGTATGATCAAGTTTGCATTCCCCCAGTAACTAGACGAGACATAGTTCTGGGAGTCAACTGATTTTTATTCGGCCACATATAGCTTTTATGCACTGACCCCTAGCATGGGGTCTCCACAACAATATTACAAGGGTTTTCTCCCAGGAGTCTCTGTGTCTGAGAGATAATTGAGCCAGAAAACTATAACTCCATTATCTCTCAGTTACAGAATAACATACAAAATGTTATGCGATCCCCCAATATGAACAGGAACCATCAAGAGGTATATCCCCATATAGTCCTCTTCTGAGTGCCCAACTTGGCAAAATAGCGCTCAGATCCTTACGGTAGAAAGGTCTGACCGGCCGGCCACGATGCGCTAGCCCAAAACAGTTCCCCTGAAAAAGGTGCCACGGCCAGTCTCTGTTCGGGGGTTCCTGTGTGAACACCATACAACGTATTCCCTTGGTTTCAGGGAGCGAATGCTCCCCCCCCAAATGTCGTTCGCATAGCTGGTCAGAAGTAGGACAGACAGCGGTATAATCTTTGCCGGGGTTCATGCAAGTGCCAAGCCGAAATTAGTTCCAGGCATTCAACGACCAAGTACCGCTGCCAGCGTTCAGGAAATAAAATGGCCGCAATCCTTTTGTCGACCATGTGCATTCTTTTATACGAAATGGTGGCCACCCAGGGGAAACATTAATTAATTACTTACTTTGCGGTTTTGCACTTATGTTCACTGGTGTGAAGGTTCTAATGGGGTACAGGAGTGGTCCTCGTTCAGGAGTCGAATACAGTGGGTTCAGGAAAATGACCACCGAACGTATAAAAAGGAAAACAGACGAAAGGAACGGTTCGTTCAGCCACAATCCAATTGGATGAAGATTGACATTTTGTAATGGTTGTTGCAGCCCAGAGCGGACGGACAGGGACTTGATTGCATGGGATGAGTGTAGGATAGAAACACAATAACTGGGGAGGATGGTATGGCCATGAATAGGTAATATGGGAAGGGGAAGCAGAATACGATCAAAGATTCAATATATTTTGATATTTTATTTCACAGTCACTTGGACAGGATTGGCAACATGTTAATAATGCATTATCATGGAAGATAATGGTTTTGTAAAGGTATTCTAACGAGACTGCTGTTTCCGATCCGATGCAATATTACATTGTAGCACTCTTTGTCATTGACACTGTAGGGATGGGAGGTACATTGTGATGTCTCAACACAGCTGCTTTTCCCTGTACGTACAGAACACAGACATGCCAAAAATGCTGCAAAATTCTCATATTACCGCCACACCTGGTGGACGATGACGAAGGGTGTGATGCAGGAAAAACTGCTTTTTGCACAAAAATATGTAATTATAGTGACATTTGTAAATATCAGCACATTCTAACTATAACCTGTAACATAATCCTCAGCTCTTAGAGCATATAACAGCATGAAGACAATGTTAAAAAAATAGATGGTGGGAAACTGCTTAATTTCTTACCCCTTACACACTACACGGACAGTTCACTGGTACTTGAGCTGCCCTGCCTTCGACAAATGGATTGGCATTTCAATGTAGCACAGACCGTTCCATGGAATTGTGCACGTAGTGTTTATTAGTTTCATTTTAATAAAGATGGTTACCTGTTTAAATTCCTTTTTCTTTGAGTATCTGCAGACTCCTCCCGGGAATTGAAGACTGGATGGAGACATTTATACACATGGGCTGATAAATCTTCAAATTATCCTGTACTCGAGTAAACATATAACACAAAATACAAGCGACTGAATTTTCTGACTTATACACTTTGCTTCTTTTGGTTTTTTTAGACTTGTATTTTATTGAGATTTCTCAAGATAAAAAGACGGAAATGTATCCAATGCTTTCTCAAGCTTGTGATAGGCATGTAACGTTTTGGAAGGTACAGAAAGGAAGCATAGCAGGGTTATTTACTAAACTGAACTTCAAACTTCAGGCCAGAGTGGCCAAAATAAAAGCATTTCAGACTTGGAGAATCTTTCCAGTTCCAGTTTTGACCTTAATTTTAACATTCAATTAAATTCACCTTGAATTCTCACTTTTGTGATTAACTTTGCTTTGACTAAGACAAACACTATCTATGGGCTATGCATATAATATTGTATTTTATTTATTTATTTATTTTTAAACTGTGTTTACTATCCAAAATCCACCATATATAACACGTTACATAACACACGAGTCTCAAAATGTTTAGTGTTAAATTTCTTTGATTTTTTTTTTTACCCAGCATAGTAGAAACATAGAAACATAGAAACATAGAATGTGACGGCAGATAAGAACCATTCGGCCCATCTAGTCTGCCCAATTTTCTAAATACTTTCATTAGTCCCTGGCCTTATCTTATGGTTAGGATAGCCTTATGCCTATGCCACGCATGCTTAAACTCCTTTACTGTGTTAAGCTCTACCACTTCAGCTGGAAAGCTATTCCATGCATCCACTACCCTCTCAGTAAATATATTATAGTAGATATACTGAGGATGTCTATCTTATTAACGATGACCTTGACCCAGGTTTGTCTGTTCTTACACTGTAAAGAGTGTAATTTGATAGGGGTTGCTGTAGTAATTGGGAAGATAAATCAATAGAGATCAGTGAATGGGGGGGAAACAATCTGTATTGATTGGTTTAGAATTTTTTTATTCAAACCTGCAATGTATATCAATGGTGATAGGTTTAAGAATTACTCAATTATGTTCAAATGTTGATTGTTCCCCCCATTCTCTGATTTCTTAGTGTAACGGACCGTTTTGCACAAAAGGGGGGAAAAACGTTTAGGCGATCGGCCCCTTTTCCAGAGATGCAGGCACAGCTACTGCAGAACACCAAACACACGAACCGCCAATAAGTGAATGCTCCAAACACCCGAACTGCATACAAGGGAATGCTCCAAACACCCAAACTGCATACAAGGGAATGCTCCAAACACTCGAACTGCATACAAGGGAATGCTCCAAACACTCGAACTGCATACAAGGGAATGCTCCAAACACCGAACTGCATACAAGGGAATGCTCCAAACACCCGAACTGCATACAAGGGAATGCTCCAAACTCCCGAACTGCATACAAGGGAATGCTCCAAACACCCGAACTGCATACAAGGGAATGCTCCAAACACCCGAACTGCATACAAGGGAATGCTCCAAACACCCGAACTCGAACCTCAAGAAGAGCTGCTAGCAGACGAACAGGAAAAGCACCCAAGTGGCTTACACTCCTGGCAATCAGTCTCTAACAGCATACAGTGAATCCCCCCAAGAACGAGACAAGGCTCCGTGTTGAGGGTCAAGCAGTGGTCTGTTTAATGAGGGCTACCTGCCCAGTATTTATGCAGGTCTCCCACCTGGTGGACACTCCCCTAGGGGTCCAGATGGAAGACTGTAACAAAAGACAGACATGTACCAATTACAGACATACAGAAGTAAAACATCCTCCCCTCTGCCCTGGAGAAGTAATTCAATTATCTCCCAGGACAAAGGCAAAACTCCATTACAACGTGGGGACACAAAGAC